TAATTATTTAGTAATGGTGAATTCGATAATAATTAAGGAAAATGGAAAGAGTTGAATGAAGATTTTAAAATTAAATCGATAACTACAGCTCCTGATTAGCTTTTACATTTACTTGAAGCAGCATTCCAACTGTAAGTATAGGCTGATTTATTGTAACAATTTTAGGATCTGAAAAGTCTCCTGGATTAGCTGCAACACATTTTCCACTTTTGAGCACAGACAGTAGATGAAACTTCATCAAAGCTTGGAAGTGGTTGACAATCACAGTTAGGCATAAAATAAATTTCTTAAATTTCTAAGACCTCTATGATAAATAGCATTTTTATGTAGACCATCTCTTAAATTTCCAAATCAATTAATTAATAAAAATACTTGCTCACATAATTCTCTTGTAAAAATAGTATAAATTTTAAATAAAAGCTTAATAGTTTTAATAACAATTCATTCTTTTTCATCCTTCGTTATACTTTCTAATTTAAATCTATTTTTCCATTTTTATATTGAGTCTCCTTCAAAAATTTAAACAATTTTATTTAAGTCAGAATAAGAAAACTCAGAAACAACAATGTTTATTACGTTAAGATAAAATTTATCTTCTTTTTCTATGTAATTAACAAAATTATCAATTGCTTCATTCAAACCTTTCAAAAATTTTTAATATTATTTTCAATCTTGATTTTTAAAGATTCGAACCTACTTTATATCTATTTTTATTCTTAACTTTTATCCTACGCAAAGTTTAATTCGTTGAGATTTTGCTTGATTAAATCAGGAAATTTGTTTATATGCAATTAATATTTTTTATCATATCCATGATCCTCTAAACAAATAGGACATAGTTTTCTTTAGCATTAATGAGGGGCTAGACAAATAAAAGTTATTTGATCGAATGAATGATCTTAGCAGAAACTCTTTTAATATTTTTAATAAACGAATTCAATTTCTTTACTATTATATGGAGGATCTAAGCACCTATTCTATTTATCAAATTGGTACATTCTTGGTAAAACTTTGTAATTTATCATAAATAATGGTATTTTACTCTGAATAAACTGATAATTATGTGGATATTCTTAGCAATAGATTATTTAAGAGCTGTTAGATAAATTCAATCATCAAATCTTCAAATTAGTGTTTTATTCAACCATATAGGGTTTCAAGATTTAAACTTAGTTAAGATTCTTGTAAAATAATTTATTATTTTTAAATTGCAATCTTATATGATAAATATTAGTTAGCCTAGATTATATTCATAGTATTTAGTGATTTCTTTTTGATATTAACTTTCAATCGCAATCTGATCCCTTTAATTTTATTTATTCATTCAATCTCTAATATTGGATATATATATTTATAAATCACAAAATCTTTGATTTAACTGAATAATATATCTTATATTGGCAATAGATTCACAATTAGTGACTAAGGTAGCATCTTAATCCTTAACCATGTTATTATTAAAATAACTTTTCTAAAGGATTTTCTTTTTAAGTAATAACTAAACATATTCTAATAAAGATTATCATCTAGTAATTCTCATCAAATTTCTATGCTTCTTTATACTTTATTTTCATTATTTCAATTATTGCTAAATACTGAGCCAATATTTTATCTATTTTAGACCTTAAAGTTCAGCACTTAATTGCTTAATTTTCATGATTACCTATAAAAGCGACTTTTGTATGGACTAAACAATATTATCTAACAAATTATATTAATTAAGTTGATTGAAGTGGTTATATCATATTTGAGCTTTTTAAGGTAAGAAAATTGTTTAAATGAGTAGAAGAATATATCAATTCTCTCCATTATTGAACCTATTCCATAACATTATCCAATATTGATGGTGTCTAAGAGATAATTAGTGTCTGTTAACCCATCAACATCAAGGGATTATGGGCTACTGAAACTCTTACTTTTTAATATAGACATTTCCAACCTCTAATGGAATCTCTCTCACTCATAGCTTCCTGACTTCCTCTTGATGGATTTTCTGTTTCTTATCAAAGCCTAATAGTCTTAGAACAGAGAAGAAAAGGATATAGTGTAGTGTGTCTTGATTATTCCACTTACAACGGCAGGTGATGATTTCATCTATGAAAGATTAAATTCTAAGAATCATATAATGCAGGATGGATGGAGAGCCATTTGCTCCTCCAACTTTACTTGATTGGAAAGCCAACCAAATAAATATTAATTTTTATTTTATCTTTTTTTAAAATAAAGATTTAGTACTATTTTGTTTAACTTTAGAAGGTAACAATTTATAGTGTTTAATATAGAAATTAATAATACATTTATTTTTTGTTTTCAAATAAACTGGGACAATACTTAATAATATTAATCAAAAATAAAAAAATGTAAATATAGTATCATAAATATGACTGAATTATTTTGAAATTATTGATATAATATTTATATGTTGAATAATTTTAATTCTTGTTATCCCATAAACTAAACGTGGTCCGTTATTTATGATTGTCTCAAAAATATCTTTGGTATTTACATTTTAATTCTTCAACTATTTTGAACTTACCATTATTTAATCCTCTAATAATATATATGTAGTTTCCAACCTTAAAATTTAAACATTCCTTTACTTATTATGAATTATTAAAAATTAGAATTTATCAACTTTTAATTATTATAATTCAATTCAATTCTCTTTTATTTGACTCATTCAGTATCAGCTGAATATTTATGAATAAAATAGAGTATTTTTACTCATAATTGACTATTATTTAATATGGACTCTCATAAAATTAGAAGAGTTTTGGAACAAATAATAGGTTGATTATTCAAAATTATAAGATCTATAGATAAATGTTAAATAACTAATTTAAGGAAATTGAATGTGCTATTAGAAAAGAAAACTTAGAATATCAGTAATTATCTTTGGAAGTATCACTAAATGTCAAACTAATGAAAAATGGTCAATTTGTAACTAAATCAATTAGGAAAAATGCTAAACAAAAAATTATTAG